TATATATATATATTGTGTTTGTTCGTCTTGTTTCTCATTTAACATCAATTTTAAAATCATTAATTTTTTTAATAATATCTTGAAAATTGAAAATATTATAATACAATTCATTCCTTCAAGTTTCTACCACCAGCTTTCATATTTTCCTATATAAAACAGGATTCCATATGGAAGTTCGTATATATTATAGGCTTACCTAGACTCTTTCATCTTTACTTGCATTTTCTGGTCTCTTTTCTTGAACTTGATAGTTTTCTCAATAATCAGCAATTCTATTACGATCGCGAAAGTGTCAATTTTCGACAAACAGCACTTTTACCCAATAAAATGAATAAAATAAACCAGGTTAGTAAAAATTGAATTTTCTTCAAAAGTTACAGTCGAATAATAAATCACATGACGTACGCTTGGATTTAAGAGACATGTAAAAATTGCGAGTGAGGTCGGACAAGATTTTCAGTACGTTTGTGTTTTGGGCAGAAAGTTAATTATAGCCTGTTGTACGACAACGGTGGAGCTTTTCACCGTGAAAAATGCTTCTCATGATATTCAACTAAGATCTCACATGAATACAAAAAATAGATAAAATACTATTTTTATTTTAATTTTGCCATTATTCACACGGATACACATTGTCACATTCTCACTCTTATTTTCATGTGTACAGACATTATGCCAGAAAAATGGCCACATTTATTAATTAAGGCTGGATCTCAGGCATAGAATTTAATTATCGAGCACCAACAATACATATACAATGTTATCTCTTGAGTTATTATTATTATTATTTATTCGAGGTGCATAGTACTGCATATCTTTATTAAAATTTTATATTAATTACTCAATACAATTTAATATAGAAAATCTATTACATAATATAATAAAAAAAAAAAATTTTTTTTTCTACACATCTAATACACATATACGCAAATACACATACGCGTGCACTCGCATAAAAAGAAGGGACACCCATTTACATGTGCCTATGAACTTAACAGCACACATTAAAAGCTTCTGTTAGTAGTGCACTTACATTAAAGAGACATGTTCTTTTCATAGATGCCTTTTAAATTTAGAACACACATCGTTATTACCTCTTTAAAACTAAATTTAACCATTCCTATGCATATAGAATGCTTTCGAAAGATTATCGCCTCCACAGTTCTCAAAATTTGAACTTAAACGAACGTTTGAAGAGTTATTACAAAGTTTCTTAATCAGGAAGCCTATAAGCAATAGAAGTGAGTGATTCTCTTTTAGAAATCGATGACATTATGTAACGAGTCATATTTGAAGTGACCATAGACCGTGCGATTTTCATTGATCATCTACAATCTTTTCCTGTCTTTTTTATGTTTTTTTTTTCACTATTATTATTATTATTAAGTATGAGATGGGAACTGATGATATGAATAGTAACGAAAATGAAGTAGAATTTAGCAAATTTATTGTCCTTTAAGACAAATATTAATATCAACTTTTTTTTAATTTAATTTTCATTATATATTAAATAACTTTTTATTAAAGTTTATCATTATATTTCGATTAACAAATTGAGTTAGAAAAATATTGTCATCTACAATAAAAGCTTTTACTTACGTATTAAAAATACAAAATAAAAAGGATGTTTCAATATTATAAGTATATAAAACTATATTTAGAAAAATTGAATTTTTTAAAAAATATCCAATATCTTATTTATAGAGAGAATAAAATTTTTTTAATTTAATAGATTATAAAACGTACTATTAAAAAGTTTTATCGACAAAATCCTTTAATGCTTTTTATTTATTTACCTATTAGTCAATTTATTTTTCGATTCATTCATGCAATATCACGCTCTCTCTCTCTCTCTCTCTCTCTCTCTCTCTCTCTCTCTTTGTATATATCTATCTATCTATCTACCCATCTCTTTTTCTCTCTTTCTCTACATTTTACGACCGTTAGCGAGTGATTAGGCGTTCGCATCGAATGCAGAAAAAAAAAATAATACGTGGTAAACACAATTTTATCAAATTAATAATACCATTATTTAGAAACGACATTACTTTCCTGACCGTCACTAAGGTATAGTTTGTCAAATGAGCAATTTCTCTCTAAAAAACAATAATAATTATATAAAGAATGTCAGTATATATTTTACTATAACTTTTTTAATTCATGTATTTATTTCCATGATTATAAATATTTTAAGCTTGATTATCACAAATAATTCCCTTGTTTTGCTTTACAAATATGTTTTTAATCCATATAATGTTAATAAAATAATTCATTGCGAATGTAAAATTTAGTCACTATCAATTTATCAAATATTTATTTACACTTGTTCATTCATATTAAATTTTATTAAATCAAATGCTTTCTACGATAAATCTATTGTTAGAGGATATAATTATTCCACATTTGTATGTCAAAATTAATCTGAATTTCTACATATGTACTCTTTATAGATTTTTAAAACACCATTTAATTTTATTAATCGTTTACTTCAGTTTTTATATTGCATATTAAATATAGCTCTAAGCATTAATTTAATACTGATGATGAATGTATTTTAAAACAGTTAATAAGAAAATATTGGATTATACATATTAGAAATTAAATATAAATATTTGATTATACCATACATTTACTAAAACTAAGTCAAATCATTGTTTATTAAATATTTTCGATGAAATAAAATCATCTTTTTAACGAATGTTCAAATAAAAAAAAAATTTAATTTAATTATCACCACAATATGAATTCTTAATGATTATTGGAAATATTATTGGATCAGAATATATTGAGAACTTTTATAATAATTGATATAGTTATAGAATATATTAATAAATATATGTAATTTTTATTTACATCTTATCGAATTATATTTTGATAAATTATTTTAGGTATATTTTAACGACAGGATACACCATTATAGTTAATTATTTTAACTACTGCATTAATTACAATATGATTGAAGTGAATGTAATTCATGAGATCAAATGAATTCCAATATCTTTAAGATTATGAAACTTTTATTTATTATTCTTATGTGAATATTTGTATCAAATATTAGTTTTAAAATTCATATTGCTTTTCATTTTACTGAAATTATTTAATTAATTGATTTCATATTATTCTAAATTAATTGTAACTTTATTTATATTTCAATCTACGGCATTATTTCAAAATTGTGATATTCAAGCGATTTAAGCTTTTGTACTTCTCTCTCTCATAAACTTCTCTATTTTTTTTTCCTCTTCTAATCAAACTCTTTCAATTCAAATAAATTTGTATGCATTACAGGCGAATGTTCGACTATAAAATAAATGTACATTTACAGTAAATGAGTAAAGAATAGTATAATTTAATATGTAAATTAAATAATCAATCTGTAAATTCAAAGTATTCTACATTCACTGAGTTTTTCTTTTCATATAATAAATACTATTCTATTCATATTATCATACGTTAAAATATATTTTATTTTTATCAATTTTATTAGTTTAACTCATTAGGAAATTCTGTATAAAAATTAAAAATTAGAAATTTTTAAATTAAAATTGATTGTCAGAGGCGTTTTTACACAAATTTTAAATTCAAAATAAATTTTTTAACTACAAAATCTGTAGTATTATTGAACAGCTTTAAATTCGATATAACTGATTTATTTAGACATATGACTTAAACGCCTATTTCTCGTTATAAGAATATTAATAAATTATTGCAAACGAATATTTGTTCATGATTCATTATAACAGATATAAAAATAATATAGCAATAAAATAATAAAGTAATAAATAATTATGATTGAAACATGAAAAATGGCAATTTTAATATACTAGTATGTATATACAGAAATTCTTAACTTTAATACGAAGAAGATTAGTAGAAAAATTATTTAATGACTATCACTGAAAGAATAATTTGTATTTATGAATGTATCATAAAGAACGTTTTCTATTGAAAACAAATATTTAGTTGTGAAATTTTTTATTCATTTATTAATTTTTCATTTATTTACAATTGAATTATTCAAATTTATTTAAAAATTGGTATTCAATAGTTAGTATATTGAAAACTACATATCCTATAAGATTAGCAAAATAATAAACAAGTGGATAACGTTTTAATTCAATATACTTTTTATTATCGGAGTGCTTTTGTTCATATATATGGTTCAGTTCAATTCACTATCACGAAATTTATTGGATGTCTAATAAAGAAAATTACTTTATGCTATATAAACGCTTAATCTAAAGTAAATATATGCTGATAAGGTTAATAAAAAACACAAAAATTAATAATATTTAGAAATAAATTTATTACAGCTCATTGCATTAAAAAAAAAAGATTAAACTTCTATTCATGCAGTTTAACTCCATCATTTCATTATTCAACTTTCTGCATATTTGACATTCATTATCTCAATAATACATACTTTGAATGAACTTCACAGATTGTTGAATTTTCAATAATATTCAGTGAATTGCACACTACGTATGTACTTACTTTTGCAAGAAATAATAGTGTCAAACTATGAAAATTAAATATTGTATCGACGTATTAATATTATTACTCTTACACACTGTCAATTTTAATTTTGCATTAAAATATAAAAATAAGACATTATTAATACAATAACACTGTTAAAATTGATAAGATCATTATTGCACAATTAGAAACGTTAATAATCGTATGAAATTCTTAAATTTTAATTTTAATCAACAAATTAATTAGTTAAACAAAAAAGTTTCACGTTTTTTTAAAATCTTTAAAATTATAATCTATTTATATATAAATGTTTATACCTACATTTACAATTTTATAAATTATTATTTTAATAAATATTTACATGTAAGCAACTATCTTAATTTTCAAATTTTAACACTTTTATAATTTCTTAATATAACAGTGTGTTATATTTCATATTCAATTGAATGTAACATCACACCTTAATAACACTTCATTGTCGAAACACTTAAAATACGATACACACACTGTATGTTTTTTTTTGTTTTTTGTTTTTTATATTAACTTCTGCTGAAACTCTTTAAAAATAAGTTAAACCTCATTTGCTACTTCACTGATAATTTTAGTACTTTCCTCCGCAACGATTTGTAGAATTTATTCTTGATCGTCTAATATTTCATGATGATCTGCACTTAGATTTTTGTGCATTTTGTGTTGTTTTTCCGTAATCTCGCCTCCAAAAATTTGGTAACTGGAAGAAGAGTAAATACTATTTGTATAACAAATTTATATCGTGTATCTCAAATATATATAGATAAATATACATTTTTTCGTTATTGAAAGTTCTTCAGCTATTTCATATGTTTTCTTACATTAAAATATTTTATATTTTAAAATATTAAAATATTTTATATATTACAAAAATATTTTCAAATTTATACATTCTTTGAAAAATATTTATATTTATTATTTCTTATTTATCGTATAGCATTCACTACTTAAAATATGTAAAAATACATTTTAACTATATAACTACTTAACAATAGTGAAGTAAAAATTGATAATTAGTATTGTTACTTTATATGAATATTGTTATATCAGATATAATAATATATCATATTATTATCTGATAATATCTGATATATTGCTTATAACACTTTTAATCGACATATGCTGTTTATATAACAATCATAAAATTAGGAATTTTTTATTATTAATTAATTATATATAATTTTTATATAGTACACCAATTACGGTTTTGTAATACATCGATAAGATTATGAATGTTAAGGTTGCAGGAATTCTACATATTTAAATCCATGATAAATGTTATAAAAAATTAAAATATATATTTTTACCAATTTTTATTATACATTATATACTATATGACTAAATTTTTTACTCTCGCAATCAATAATCAAATGATTTTAACAGAATAAAACTTCTAATTTTACGTAGGTGTAATTATAATAAATAATATTGATGGCATTCTTAATAAAATATATTCTTTTTTCTAAACTTCCAAGGTAAACTTACTTTTGGGTGAATATTTTATACATTATCCACCTGCCTTGAATTCATATTTATAAAAAAAAAAAACGACATCTTAGTATTACCGATATAATCAAGCAATGCTGGCGCAGTGTAATGCGACACGAGATTACTTTGTCATACATAATACTATTTTTCAACTTTACTTTTAATTCCAACTTATAAAAAGTACTTTTCGTATGCAAGTGCTTACATTGCTCTCCAATTTTCAGAGTATATAAATCATCTTGCAATTAAGGACAAAAAGTATATATGATATTTTTTTTAAACCATTCTTAAACTTTCTAAAGTTTCAAGCAAAGCTACTAATAATAGAAACATAGAATTATGGTGAGCAACATCTATAATGTCAATACAATTAGACTAAATACATACGCAAGAAGAACTAATTATATCTTCATAAATTAGATGTACATCGTTAAGAGTTGGAATAAGGCTGTAAGTCGTATATAAAAATTTTTTTCAAAGTTTTGTATTTAATTTAGTTACAAAGTTTTTATTTACAAAGTTTTTCGCAATATAATAAACTGCTAAGAGATTAAAAAATTCTGTCAAAAAATGAATTCCTTCATTTATTAATATTAAAATTCTGTTAGTGTATAAAAACTTTATCCTTATTTAATCTCATTTGATCAAGTAAACGAAACTTTCTGATTAGGTTTACTCGTTTGACAACTCTGAAGTTTATACTTGAAATAAATTTCGAAACTAAAGTGAATTTGTAAAAATGGATAACGTATAAAATAGAATAATCCTTTTACTTATTACTATCAATGTCTTGAGTGATTAAACTCTCAATTTCGTTATCCAGATATATAAATGTTCTACATGTAGAGCTTATGCAAGCAGTTACGAATAATATGACTGTGACAAATATTCAACATAAAATTGTTTCCGTATCTATATACTATATACTATATATATATATATATATATATATATATATATATATATATATAATTTTTTCCTCTTTATTTTTCAAGCGAAAGTTAAATTTATATTTTACTTTCAACTAATTATTTTAATGACGCTTCCAAGCCACGTAAATAATAATATTACTGATAAAGTTAGCGTTTCATATTATGAAAATTCATGCGAAATAATTCTCGTTAATGACAGGGTCGGTTCAACTGTAAATTGTATTTTAAATTTCCTATGTTAAAATTTCACTCATTTATTAAAAGTTAAAAAGTTCAATAATGTGTAAGATTTAATTTAATAAAAAAAATAACCGGCAAGAAGCTGGACAATCATGAACCTGACCGAACATAACGATAATGATTCAAGCGATCGAGACCAAAGAGTCGTCTTTCTTATATTCGTCTTAAACTCAATGTCGACTATACCGTCGATGTTATCCTCAAATCGACCTGGAACAGCAAGATGAAACTACCTTTTGCGTTTGGGCTTTTGGTCGCTCTGAGAAGGGCGATTGGAGTGGCGGTGGCACACCCTCCTCGCGCGTCTTTTCATCAGCTGTCCATTACTGCCGATGTCGAATCTCCCCAAAACATTTCACGCTTCCACATTTGGCAGTTTTGGAGAAACTGCACCACTACCATCGCACCCCGTCATTTAGCGGTGATATTCCCAATCTTAATTCAACAGTTGCCATCGAATGAGAATTTCTTTTTCAACACTCATAAGTGCATATCTCTGACAATAGTGTGGCTGACGGGACGAGCATGCGTCTTTAGATCTTGAAATCCTGGATTTTACAAGCTGTTCAACGATACTCACGAGAACTTGATTAAACTTCATTAAAATTCATAATAACGAAAATTGTACCCCGATTTTATCTTTACTAAGCGATGGTTTTATAATAGTCATTGAATTTCTAGAAGATAATTAATGTAAATAGCATATAAGGTGGGATGTACTCAAGAAGAATATAGAACGAATTATGAAAATAACTGGAATCATTCGCATTGCAGGAGAGTTAATTGAGTATTAAATAGAAATGAATCACAAACAAGCAGAAAACGTGCTGTAATGAAAGCGAGATGTTACGTCTTCGGAGTAGAAATAGTCGATTATTATTCTAGTCACAAAATGTAGATAAAACAGATAGTATCGTTGATGTCTAAGTTTCTCACCTCCTACAAAGTTCTGTATTACAAATTTAATGCTAATTAGCCGATGTTTAACGAAAATTAATATTAAAATTAAATACTTGAAAGTTTAAAGTTTAGTCGTTGATATAAACGTCTTTTTCATTGCCATTAGTGATGTAATAAAAATTGATAAATCTTCTACAAAATATAATTTTCTAAAATATTAATGGAACAATAAAACAATGCATCTTATAATTTTGTACGATTCTATAATTTTGATTAAAAATTTACAAATTATTTTAATAATACAGCACGCTCAAACCGTCAAAACGATATTTTAAATTTTTTATCACATATGTACTATTTTGTAGGTTATTTAATTGAAAGTCATTTAATTTTAAGTAATTCGTAAATAAATATGAAGATTAATTCTTGTATAATTTTTCACGATTAATTTCATAAAGTATTAGTTAATAAAACTGTCGAGATTTTGTAGGATCGTTAGTTATTATGAATAGAAAATTTTGTCTTTGAATAAACACTGAATAAATTCATGAACTTTTCATAAGTCTACAGCATAAAGCTAAGTTAATGAAAAAAGCCTTATTAAGCTGATTTCTTTATTTCAATGAGAAATATAAATAGATGAATGCAGACCGTATAATAAATTTTATTATGATTATCTAATGCTTATATTTAAAACTTTATAACACAAAAAATTATTTACGTCGAAAGCTTGAAAATATAGATTATTGCGATAATGTGTAATATAATTGTCAAAATGTAAAAATTCAATGAAATAATGATTAGTCATTGAATGATGCAATTATTGTCGATTTAATGATAATATAAAGGAGATAATCAATGTTCTATATAATACAAATATAAAAATTAACAAATTATCGTCTCCATTTACGTATAAGTTGATTCCTTAAATTGATTTAAAAATATATTCTCATTTGAATCTTTATACATTTCAGCAAAATATTCAAAGTAATGATCATTCGTATGGATTTTTTCATTAGACAATGGGGCTCATTAATCAAAACTCATATTTCCTAAGTATACTGATACGTTTGTGATTTTTGTATATTATATTAGAATAATCTTAGCACTGATATAAATAGGTAGAAGGCAGTAGAAATAACAGTTTGAAGATTATGTCTATTGATGGTACAGTAAATGAGATGTAGATGAAGGCAATACAAACTGCTCAAAGTAAATTCAGTTAAGAGCCTTATTTACGTTTGCAATTGCAATACAACTATTGATATTTTCTTAGTAACTCCCCTAGCAACTGCAGAGGTTGTATTAGTTTTAATCAAGACAAGCTTAGAGATACAAACTTTGCGTGAAAATGGTACTTAGATAAAATGAAACAATTAAACGATTAAATGGATCAAGTCCAATATATTTTTCGATAACTAAGAAAAGGCTACAGTGACGACATTATGAGTCGAAGCATGGAACTACCTTTGGAAGGTTTGAATGTCCAGTTTTCACTTTACTTCCGCTTCATCCATAAAAGCTTCGAAATACCTGAAATCCTACATTACTTATGATTTCATTTAATTAAGTATAGAGTCTCCTAGTATATCCAATTCTACTATTTACTCACTTAAATTCAAATCACATATTAATGTCAGCGTCTATATATTTTATGCATAATCGAAGTAATCCGCTCTACCATTACTCCAAGATACCTTTGCATAACATCCTTGCAAATTATTGCTTCGATAACAAATACAATCTTCTATCATCTTCAAAGCTACATAACTCTATAGCTAAATATGCCTTAATGAATATCCAAAATATCGTTTAATCGATTAGTTTTAGGAAAAAAGCTTCTATTATATATCATACCATCACTATAAGTAAATTTTTATCTTAAAGATAATTTTTTTGTTCAACAATGAAAAATATTTTATATAATTAGATGGCTTCCTTCACTATGAACTCCTTCATTTAATTATAACGTATTTTACAATTTAACCTATAATAAAACTCACATACTGTAAATCCTAATATTTATTTTACCTTGAGGGTTATACAGATTATGAAAGAAAATTAGAAATCACTTTGTTCGTAATAAAAGATGTTTCACTAAAATTCAAACTTGTACAAATATAATTTATAAAAATACTTTCGTTACCTTGAGATTGTTAAATTGAAAATTTTGAATGATTTGAAATCATTATTGCCTACATTAGTTGACAAACCCTCAAATTATATAATTCTTAAATCACAGACCATAAATTACATTTACATAATTACAATACATTTCGATTTTTATCGAAGTTTTAAATTGCACTTATGATTATATTATATAAATATTATGCAATTCTTAAAAAGATATAAAGAATTCCCTTTAAACACGTATAAGAATTCAATTCAGAATAATAGTTCATTAAAGTTTGTAAACTAAGATTCTTTAAATGCTTCAAGCTATTTTAAAATTTCGAAAGAATGAGCAAAAAAAAAGTAGATCAATGAAATAAAATGTTTTACATTTGTGCACGATAAAAAAAAACTTATTAGGCTAACAAAATTCTGAAATTATTCAAAAATTATATATTATAGTGTAGCTTACAACATAAATATATTATAACACAAACACAAATTTATACAAATATATGAAAGGTAATAAATAATAATAAATAATAAATTCAGAAATTGTTTTCACAAATATGAAGAACAAATTTTTTTCTCATAATTAAATATCTTCAATGTCTATAAAAAAAAAAAACTTATTGAATCATTTTATTATTAATATATTAAGTTTTTAAGCAAATTCAATATAAATAAAACAATAATTAGATAACTTTCATCCTTTTGTCTAAAAATATTTTAGAAATTAATTAATTTTCTAGGGATAAAAAGAATATTAAGGATTTTTCGTATTTTATCCTTATATCAAAATAATTACGAAAAGATAAAGATAAGTTATTCAATTAAAATAAATATTATATAAGTCAAATATGATTTTAATAAGCTGAAAATATTTATAATGTATTTTATAATATCGATACACTTAGACTATCTTATGAGAAAAATTTGTTTTAAATTATAATATTAAATAGCATTGTTTTTCATTTTAATAAAAAATGCGGCATTTATAGTAGTCTTTATATGCATAGAATTTATATATAAAACTATTTTAAATTACACATTATAATGATGGTAACAGGGTGCGCATGTGTGCGCATGTGTGTGCGCATGTGTGTGCGCATGTGTGTGCGCATGTGTGCGTGTGTGTGTGTGTGTGTGTGTGTGTGTGTGTGTGTGTGTGTGTGTGTGTGTGTGTGTGTGTGTGTGTGTGTGTGTGATATATATCACACAATGCTTCTCTATTTTTTCGCACATTTTTCATTTTTTATAGTATCTTATCTATATAAAGATTCTTGAAATGCCTATAGTGATAAAAATTTTGTCTTCTGGAAAATGGTCTACTTTGGATCATAGCCAACATTATACATTACATCCTTGGCACTATGAGTTTTTAGACAAAGCCGAAATTAAGTTCACGTAACCCTCTGATTTACTGAAATATACCGTAAATTAAAAACTGCTTTTATAATTTTCTATTTGATTTTCTCAACTTTTTATTATAATAGACTATGTTTTCCGAATGATCACACTTATTTATGTATAAGTATATATGCTTTTAAGATTGTCGTGAATAATATTTTAAAGATGTGTATGTTGATGAAAGAATAATTTAGAAGTAAATATATATTCAACATAGTTCATCACATATTCTTATATTAGATATAGCTTTATTATTATATATGTCAAAGTACTTTTCGTTATGTACGATAATTTAAAAAATGTTATCATAATAATCATTAATGACACATTCGTAACACGATGCAGTTATAACAGTTTAAATATTTTTTGTAATAAAATTGTAAAATATTTTAGAATTATTTAAAGAAAACGAGCTACGTGAAATTCACGATGATGTAATTTAATGTAATGTGTAAATGAGAAGACAAGAAGATAAAATTATCTCTCATATTACAAGCATTTTGAGTATTCGACTATAACGTATAATAAATAGTTATAAAATTCTTTTATCAAAAACATCTATATTTAAAATATAAAAATTTCATATTAGTAATATTATCTAATTTATGCGTAAATGCTATAAATTAATAATTGAAATAAAACATAGCTTGTACACCGACTACATAGATAATCATATAAAATTTTATTCTATTCAAATGAATTTCTACTTTACACACTATATTATGACTGATTAAGTCACTAATAAAATGGTTTCAATTACAGTCATTGGAATATCCGTTATTTTATGGTAATTGGCCCCACATATATCGAAACTTACAACATTTGTCGCGGCTTTGTTGCAAATTCGTTGCGTTGCCAGGAGCATTAATTTACTGAAGTCATCATTTACACTGTTAGAGGTTTTATCGAATAGCGTAAAAAATTAGAAAAAAATAAACAATTTGAATTAAAATATTTAGTTGTCGTTGTTAGGGCGTAGTAATTTGGCGTGAGCCGATGAAGATTATCTGATTTATTGGAACAGGTATGAATAAAAGAATACCTTCGTTTTCATTCCCAAACTGGCAATATAAGGAAGCAGGGGCTTTCTCAAATACAAAATACGTTTCGATTGTATGAAAATGAAATATTCAATGGAGTCATAGATTTCTCGTGTGCCATAATATTAAATGTGCATAGTCTTCTCAATAGTAGTTCCACACAAATCAGGCAAAGGCATGAAATGGACGCGGAAAGAAAAATAAAGAGCGTTAAAGAGTATGATAGAGAGAGAGAGAGAGAGAGAGAGGAAAGTGGAGGGGCAGGGGGAGGGGGGCGTTCATAAGCAGTCAAAAAAAGGGGTATTGGATTGAGTTTCGCATCACGTAGTAGTCATTCCATTTTCACCTGCCGTACCCATGTCATTCCTTTATCGCTGTACCTTTCAATGAAAAGCCAGTGGGAAATGCGCCCCCGCAGGGCAACAAATGAACGCCACTCACTCCTTGTTTTTCTGCTCCCTGTTCGTGTGACCAAGAGCAGTAAAACCCTCGTGCTGTTGATATTAAACGCTACATGATAAACGGAAGGCGGCAACAGCACCAACAGCAAAGACCCTCGGCATCAGCTACAGAATTTCCAAATATCCCGCTCGATTCGACTTCTATCGTCTATCGTGACATTTCTTTATTTTTCGCTCTCCTTTGCTGGCACAATGACAAGACGAGCTTCTTTTCTTCCACTTGTATTTAAATAAATAAATATATATAGGTATGCCCAAGGATCGATAAGTACGTATCCATAAGCATGGATCCGAGCCGCTAGATAGTAGATTAGTTTCACAAGAGTATTATTTTTACTTTTTGCTCTCCTCGTCAGCTTGTGTTTTTTTTGTTTTTTGTGTGTACCTTTTTTGTCTTTTGAAGAAGCTTTGCACGCACATATAAATACACATATCAACAACTAGAACAACTTAAGCCTCACTAATCGCAAAGTAATAAAATGTTCATATTCTTCATATTGCCAATGAACACGTATGGCATTTCTTAAATCACAAATCATGCAACTCGACGTTTTGAATGGCGATATAGCATTTTTTATTTACTGAATGAGTACTGAAATTCTGCCAAAAGCAATTTTTCTCAATTTAAACTTTGTTGTCTGAAGTGCGAAAACAGTCGAAAATGAAATTTAAGAAGCTATTTTAATTTATTATATTGTAAAGCAATAACTTTATTGCCTGATTCTTTCTTATTTATCGATATCTAATATTTAAATTTAATTTAACTTACATGTTTTATGCTATCTTGAGTATGTCGAAAAAAATGAAACGAAAAAGTTATTTATAACATTTATGAAAATCTTTTAAATTTTGTTTATTTTTTTTTTTTTTTGTGAATTTTAATAATTTTATATCAATATTTCATCATTGGTGTTATTACATTTGCATGATTCATTTATCATTACAGTGTTAATATATATACTTTAAAAATAATATTTATTAAAAAAAATTATCAGAGCATCGATTAATATAATAGATTGATTATTTTATAAACCGTATACTTATAATTTTTAATAAAATAAATTATTTTTTGTACAATACACAAGCAAATTAATTTCGATTTTAATAAATAATTAAAGCTCATGTAGCAACAATATATAATAATTTAACATATATGATAATAGAGGGGTGAAAACATAATTATATCATGATAAATAATTACATCATATGGAATGCTGAATTTGTATGAAAAGTTATAATTAAAGCGGAACTTTGTTCGTTTAAACGTTGCAACTAAAAGTTACTGCCGATAATTTAAATATATTATTATTGAAAAGTACTTCTGTCTATTTAATTTAAAAAATATTTGCACTATAAGTATTGGCCTATGGATTAATATAAACTTGTAATCAAATTAATTATTACATTGTATTGTATTTAAATAAATTGTGCGCGTTTGTCAGAATGATCAAGAAAGTAAGTGAATTTCATTTAAAAGAATTTTCAAGCTTGACTCGTGAATTCTCAATATCTTAGCTTTCACTTATCAAATATACATTAACATATTTAATTGAATAACTTTATTATTAATAAAGTACACAACAATATGCAATATTTAAATTAATTGACCCATGCAATTCATAATTTTTAATAAAATATCTTTATTTAAAGCAATCCAATGGTACATGTTATCTAGATGTAGTTCACACAGCAGTGACGCACGCTTAATTTATCATTTAAATTGCTCAAATCCAAGGTACATACGCATACACATACACGCACACGCGCGCACAGGTGA